ATGGTCCTCAGAATAAGATAAGATAAGATACATCTTTATTGTCCAGATCCTGGCACATTGGTTTGGTGTTTCACCACGTGTACTCACACACACGCGCGCATGCGCTCATACATTCACACACATGCAGGCTTACAATCACATGCATAATGCAAACAAGCAGCAATATAAACAATAATAATCGTAAGCTAGATAGCCACTCAGTGTTATTTTGATGCATGTTCTTAGGTCGTAAGTATACGAATGGTTGCTCTGTTGTCAAAAATCTTTTTTGTGCTGTGTCATGTTGTGTTTTGGATGACTGCAGCAAACATTGTTCAGAACTCGTTGTCATGTGTTGTGTTTCCCGGGAAGCTGAGAATGTTTCGGAGTGTTCTATGGTCTGCTGGGGTAATAATATAGTGTAAAGCGCATAGAGCCTGCTGTTGAGCGGGGATATGCGCTATACAAATGCTATCTATCATTATATTATTATTATTATTGTGTTATGTTGATTTCAGCAAGCACTGGTCATAACTCGTCGTGCCTTTTTGTTGCGGGTGCTCTGGTGTGGTTTGCTCCTTCTTTCCCTGTCAAACATCTATCATCCTTGTCTCTCCTCTTATTTTGTGTTTGTTACTCTCTTTGCTACACCTCTAATCTTCGGCACTTATATGATCTTATTGTGTTCCAATTACTGAAAAGCACTTATTAAAACTTTTAAAAAACGTTGGTCATAAGTCGTTGTGTTGTGTTGTTGTCGATTTCAGCAAACATTGTTCTTAACTCATTGTCGTGTGTGGTGTTATGTTGATTTCAGCAAACATTGTTCTTAACTCATTGTCGTGCGTGGTGTTATGTTGATTTCAGCAAACATTGTTCTGAACTCATTGTCGTGTGTGGTGTTATGTTGATTTCAGCAAACAGTTTGCGGCGATGGACGACCAGCAGAAGGAGGAGATGAGGAAGGAGAGAAGGAGAATCCAGGAGCAGCTGAGGAGAATCAAGCGGAACCAGGAGAAGCCCTCCACCACCCCGCCACCCAAGAAAAAGCCAAAGAAGGAGAAGGAGCAGCTTCTCAAGGCCTCCAAGGTACTGGTGGGGACGCCGTTCTCTCAAAGTTTCCTTACTTACTCGCTTTTGTGTGTTTGTCACTCTCTTGTCAACTGCTACTTGCGGGGGGGTCTTGATAGTCGAAGCAGACTTTGTGCTGTTGAAGCTAGAGAGGTGTGTTGCGTGTAACGAGAACTTTGATGTGTCGCGTAAGTTTCCTCTGATGTGTCGTGTGTGTTGCTTGTAATGTGAACTTTGATGCGTCGTGTGTAATGAAAACTTTGAATTATTAATAAACTTTTGTTCATGATCATGAAGCAGTGGAAGTATTTCTTTATAATAATATGATAAAATGTAGATGGTCCCGTTTCTAGAAATTTTCAAATTGGTAGAAGCGAACTATTTTTTTTGTTTAGATTTTAAAATTCCTGTTTTTCCCAGTCAGATGTAAGGTCATTATGTTTTTTGTTTTGTTTTTTGTTCATGTTTGTTCAAGTTTATCTAGAAACCTACAAGTAAAATAAAGTAAATTCTTTTATTTAACTGAGTTTAAACAAAAAAATGGAACAATATTCCTGATCATGAACAGAGAAAAACCCCCACCCCACCCCCAAATCTTTGATCGTGTTGTAGAACACGTTCCTGTGGCCTTCCACTCACCACGAGCACGGTAAATCTTTGATCGTGTGGTAGAACACGTTCCTGTGGCCTTCCACTCACCATCAGCACGGTAAATCTTTGATCGTGTGGTAGAACACGTTCCTGTGGCCTTCCACTCACCATGAGCACGGTAAATCTTTGCAGATGAAGTGCGGGGCCTGCGGCCAGATCGGGCACATGCGCACCAACAAGGAGTGCCCGATGTACAACAAGGGCGGGGCGGGGCCGGGGGCCATGCAGGTGGCCATGACGGAGGAGCAGGAGGAGGAGGAGGAGAAGAACATGCCGGTGGACCAGGACCTCATCAACGTGGAGGGGACCAAGATCACCATGTCCAAGACTTTGCTGGAGCAGTGAGTGAACATTGTTCTTTGGTTCTTGATGGGTTCTTTATTGGGCTCTTGCTTGATCTGTGGAGGGTGGTTTGAGGGCACTAAGATCACCATGTCCAAGACTTTGCTGGAGCAGTGAGTGAATCATGTTCTTTGGTTCTTGGTGAAGCGTGTTCTTTGGTGGGTTCTTTATTGGGCTCTTGCTTGATCTGTGGAGGGTAGTTGGAGGATGGTTGTAAGGCACCAAGATCACCATGTCCAAGACTTTGCTGGAGCAGTGAGTGAATCATGTTCTTTGGTTCTTGGTGAAGCGTGTTCTTTGGTGGGTTCTTTATTGGGCTCTTGCTTGATCTGTGGAGGGTAGTTGGAGGATGGTTGTAAGGCACCAAGATCACCATGTCCAAGACTTTGCTGGAGCAGTGAGTGAATCGTGTTCTTTGGTTCTTGGTGGAGCGTGTTCTTTGTTAGCTCTTTGTTGGGGTTCTTGTTGGGTTCTTGCTTGATCTGTGGAGGGTGGTTGGAGGGCACCAAGATCACCATGTCCAAGACTTTGCTGGAGCAGTGAGTGAATCGTGTTCTTTGGTTCTTGGTGGAGCGTGTTCTTTGTTAGCTCTTTGTTGGGGTTCTTGTTGGGTTCTTGCTTGATCTGTGGAGGGTGGTTGGAGGGCACCAAGATCACCATGTCCAAGACTTTGCTGGAGCAGTGAGTGAATCATGTTCTTTGGTTCTTGGTGAAGCGTGTTCTTTGGTGGGTTCTTTATTGGGCTCTTGCTTGATCTGTGGAGGGTAGTTGGAGGATGGTTGTAAGGCACCAAGATCACCATGTCCAAGACTTTGCTGGAGCAGTGAGTGAATCAAGTTCTTTGGTTCTTGGTGGGTTCGCCAAGATCACCATGTCCAAGGCTTTGTTGGAGCAGTGAGTGAATCATGTTCTTTGGTTCTTGGTTGAGCGTGTTCTTTGTTAGTTTTTTGTTGGGGTTCTTTATTGGGCTCTTGCTTGATCTGTGGAGGGTGGTTGGAGGGCACCAGGATCACCATGTCCAAGACTTTGCTGGAGCAGTGAGTGAATCATGTTCTTTGGTTCTTGGTGGAACGTGTTCTTTGTTAGCTCTTTGTTGGGGTTCTTGTTGGGTTCTTTGTTAGATTCCTGATTGGTCTCTAAGATCACTCTGTCCAAGACCTTTTTGAGCAGTGAGTGGGGAGCTTGTTCTTTGGTGGGTTTTTGGTGGATTTTTTGTTAGGTTCTTGTTGGAGCAGTGAGTGGAGAGATTGTTCTTTGTTATTGGTGGGTTCTTGTTGGATCTCAGGAGGGTGGTTGGAGGGCACCTAGATCACCATGTCCAAGGCCTTTCTCTCTCTCTCTCTCTCTCTCTCTCTCTCTCTCTCTCTCTCTCTCTCTCTCTCTCTCTCTCCCTCCCTCCCTCTCTCCCTCTCTCCCTCTCTCGATCGATCTCTCTCTCTCTCTCACAAGAAAGCCAGCCAGAAGATTTTTACTTTCTCTATGCCTCACAGATAGCTAAAATACAAGAACCCCATTCACTCGATGCCACGTAAAAACCTAAAATAATTACCCATCAACCCCCCCACCCCCTGTCTGACTGGTGATGAAGATAATAGAACGTAGGGATATGAGTGGGGGTGAGGGGGGGG